CTAGTCCGTCCAACATCTACCCAGGCTCTCGAGCACCAGATGGTGCTGGCATCTAGCCTGGTTAGGTGTACCCAGCCCCAGTTCACACTCATGCCAAGAGAGATTGCACCCATATCCAGACCAGAACACAGCCCTCACTCTGGCCCTCGTACTCTCCTGTGGGAACCCCAATCCAGCAAGGGTGTACTCTCACAGCTCCCCAATTGAGCCTCTTCCCAGCCCTAGATTACGTGTGTGCCAGTGGTTGTGCTGACCCAGTTGGCTTAGCCCCTCACCTGTCTCAGCCTTTGCCTTAGATGCTGTGGCCTAGTATCCCTGGCTCATGCAGACCAATCAGTGTAAGAGCCTAGTTTGGCATGATATGTGCTCCATTCTGATTTCTGTTCTTCCTTGTGAGTTGAGGTTTGCTCGGCCCTGCCCAGTCTGTCCCCTTCCAGTTGCAGCTCAGCCCTCCCCACAGCTTATTTTAGGATGCACATTCGGGTGCTGCTGCCTTGATCTGCCCAGACTGTTGTCGAGTCCTTTAACCCATAAATGATGGCAGATTCCATGGTCGCACCTAGCTCAACCCATCGCCACCCCAGCTCATGAGCTAACCAGCGAGACTTGTATTTCCGCAGGGTTTGGCCCATATATCCCCTACAGTATCTACCCTCTGGCCTGTTTCATGTATTTAGTGCCTTGACCCTGCCAAGTGTGACCCATCCCAGGTACTGGTACCTAGCTCTGCCATACAGGACTCTATCCATAGCTTTCGTGTGGACTGGTGTGTGGTAGTCAGTGATGCTCTATGCTAACAGCCCATCTCAGGATTCCATGTGGGCTGGTGAATCAGTCTGGCCCAAATAGATCTTATGGACTCTCCCCTCCAAACTACCAGGTCTCGGTCCCCATGCTTGCCAGAAAGTGCTGGGACCCCGATGCTAGGAATCACCCAGAATTCATCCCTCACCTACACTCACACAGGCCTTATCCATGGATGTCCGTAGGCAGCAATTACATATTCTAAAAATATCGGAGCTCACTGCTGGGTAGCCAGCAGGCAGAGCCTGACACCACTTGGTGCGCTGGCCACAGAAAGCCTAGGACTGGGTCACTGCGGCAGAGCAGAGCCAGGCCCTTAATCCAGTTCCCAAGTTTCCCTCATGGTCATGTACTTATCCCAAGGGAAGAGCTCTCTCAGGCCTGGAGAAAACCTAGGACTCGGTCCCCGCCTGGAGACAGTGACTTTGGCTTGAGTCCCCGGCATTGGGTCCAGCCTGGCTGGGGCACTCCCCGCCCCCCAAAGCCACCACACTGCAGGGGGCTCCCATGGCCAAACACCTCATTTGCCTCTTTGAACCTCTAAGTTTTTCCCAGAGATGGAGATTATGGATAGCTGCTGTAAACATTTGTGTACAGATTTTAGCGGGAATATAAACTGTTGTTTCTCTAGGATCAATATCCAAAAGTGGGATTTTAGGGTATATGGGAAGTAAACGTTTACCTTCAAAGAAATTGCCAGACTTTTTCTGAGTAACTGTACCATTTTCCATCTTTTTTTTTTTTTTTACTTTAAAGATTTATTTATTTTTATTGGAAAGGCGGATGTACAGAGAGGAGGAGAGACAGAGAGGAAGATCTTCTGTCCAATCGTTCACTCCCCAAGCAGCCGCAATGGCTGGAGCTGAGCCAATCAGAAGCCAGGAGCCAGGAACCAGGAGCTTCTTCTGGATCTCCCACATGGGTGCCAGGCTTTGGGCCGTCCTAGACTGCTTTCCCAAGGCCACCAGCAGGGAGCTGGATGGGAAGTGGAGCTGCCGGGATTAGAACTGGTGCCCATATGGGATCCAGGTGTGTTCATGGCAAGGGCTTTAACCACTACGCTATCGCACTGGGCCCCATTTTGCATCTTTACCAGAGGTGTTTCAGAGTTCTAGTCATCCTACCTCATGAGTCCTTGGTAGTTTATTTATCCACAAATGAGTTATTGTGTGCTGTGGTTGTGTTTGACATTGATCTTCATGTACATATGGACCACCTGCCTTCATGTGGTGTCTGTCCAAGCCTTTTTGCCTGTTGAGTTATTTCCTTCCTGGTGAGTTTTGGGGTTTCTTTATATTCTGGATATCAGTGTTATTCTAGACTGTATGTGATTTGCATATATTTTCTATTGGCCTGTATTTATCATTTCTTTAAGAGTATCTTTCACAGCAGAAATGGTGTTGACTTGATGAAGTCTAATTTACCAGTTTTTTGGTTTTTCACATTCTAATCTGCTTTTGGTGTCTTGCCTTAGAACTCTTTGCCTAGACCGAAATCACAAAGATTTTCTCCCATTTCCCATGTCTTCTCTAGTGTTTTACAGTTTTACATTTCACATGTAAATTGTGACCGTTTAAGTTGGCTTTTGTGCAAGTTGTGTTTCAGTTGAAGTTGATGTTTGCATGTGGCTGGCCAACTGTCCTAATACTATTTGCTGAAAAAATTATCTTTTTTTTCATGAAATTGTCTTAGTATGTTGTCAAAAATCAGTGGTCCATGCCTGGGAGGGTCTGTTTCTGAATGTCCTGTTCCGGATCGCTGGGCTGCTTCTCTGGGTTTCTGGCAGAAGCACGCTCCTTGGATTCCTGTAGTTTTATAGTAGGTGTTGAAAATGGATAATATGAATCCTCTAACTGTATTCTTGCTATTGTAGATTTTTTTCTTTGCCTCTGCATATGCATTTTAGAATCATCTTGTCTGTTTCTGGGAAGCAAAATTCTACTGGCATTTTGGTATAGAATTGTTGCGTGATGATCATTCTTCTCAGCACATGAAAAATGTTCAGTCCCTTCTTTCTTGCTTGATTTCGATGAGGAAGCTGGTCAATTTGAATTGTTCTATGTATAGCACTATGTAACTTTGCTGCTGTCTACGGACATCATGTAACATTTTAATTGTGACGTATCTGAGTAGATAAGGTCTTGATATATTTACCTCAGTATATATCTACATAAAGAAGTGTTATCTTAGGCCTGGCGTGGTAGCCTAGTGGCTAATGTCCTCGCCTTGCACTCGCCAGGATCCCGTAGGAGCACCAGTTCTAATCACATTGGCCCTGCTTCCCATTCAGCTCCCTGCCTGTGGCCTAAGAAAGCCACTGGAGGATAACCCAAAGCCTTGGAACCCTGCACCCACATGGGAGACCCGGAAGAAATGCAGCGGCCACTGCAGGCACTTGAGGAGTGAATCAGGGGATGGAAGATCTTTCCCATTGTTTCTCCTCCTCTCTGTATATATGACTTTCCAATAAAAATAAATAAATCTTTAAAAAAACAAATAGCCTGTAATTAGAAACGTGTGTCATCTTGGCATTATTGTCTGTTGTTGAACGTTTCCAATGTGAGTTGTGAGTTAAGCTTTCTCACATTGTTTTTTTCCTGAAAATAATCATCTTAGTTGGGTTTAAGCCACCAATTCTGACCAGCCTTCCTTTGACTGTGGGTTCAGCATCGATTCTGTTCACTGTTCGGATCCACGCCAATTGTGTGCGACAATGGTGATCAGTCTGGGACATCAGCAGTGCTTATTACTCAGTTCTGTTCTCATTCTTTTATTAAAAAAATTATTTTATTAAAAAAATAAAAATAGAAAAAAAAAGAAAGAAGCGATACATTATCTCATACACTTAAATCTACACAGAGAAAGAAGGTGCATTCAAGAAGGAGTAAGTGAAGGTAAAATAAAGACTATGATATTTTCTTTAAAAAATTATTTTATTTTGTTTTATTTTATTTGTAAAGGAGAGTGACAGGGAGAGAGAAAGAGAGAGATCTTCTGTCATCCAAATGGCAGTGACACCTGAAAGCAGGAGGCTGACGCTGTATCCTGATCGTCCAGGTGCAGTAGTAGGGAGCCGGATCAGAAGCAAAACATCCAGCCCTGGATTTGTTGCTCTGAGACAGGACGCTGGTATTGCAAGCAACAGTTTAGGCCACTGCGCCACGACGCTGGCTCGTTTGTTCTGCCCCTAACATCTTTCATCTTTTGTTTGGCATTGTATCCACCCACATGCAGTTTTCAGGGTGGGCAAAACTTTATGTGGTTTCTTTCCCAAGCTTCTCATTCTGAGATTTTCCTTGTACTTTTAGCTGCCTTGAGCCTTCCTGTTTGGTCCCCTGACCAGAAAGCTAAGTCCTTTGTTACCCCAATCTTCCTGGCATATCTGGTGCTAAGTAGTAGGAGAGAGAGAAAAAAAGCCACGGGGGCTCCTGTGCAGGAACTTTTACCTCCTTTGGTTGTTGGAGGCGCTTGTTGAAACCCGCTGCTGTGGCTGCTGGCAGGGCACTGGCTGGTGCAGAGGGATGGACCCAGAGGAGGGAGAGCAAGGCGAGGTAATCACTTACATTCTCTGAGTGTCAGGAGCTCTCTTTTCTGTCCTTTGAACTCAACACTAGAGCTTCCCCTAGTCCTCCCTCCATGCCCTGGGACTCAGCCCTGGCTTTCAGGGAGCCTTGGGTTCAGGCCAGGGGCTGTGGGAAAAAATCTGAGGATCTCAGCACAGGCTGAGGGTGAGCGCTGCTGAAGTTCCTGTCTGCTTGCCCGGTCTACCTGCTGCTGTAGACTTTCCCGGAGTCCACGGACAGCTATGAGTTGCTGTCTAGACTGTGTGTTCATGGGGAGAGAGTCAGGATGGAGCTTTTCTGTTCCCTCATATTCTGAACTGAAACCTGCGCCTGTTTCGGTTCATTTCTTATTTTTTGAAAGTCTGTTGTACAAATACATGTCCATTGTAGAAAACTTGGAAAATAAAGGTTAAGATAAAAGAAGCTAAATTCTTTTGGAAATTTATGAACACTCATGAGCTTCTGATGCTTTGGCGTTGGCAGATAGTCCTTTTTATTTCATACGTATGTTTTTAATGTTAACAATAAAATTAATTAGATAATAAAATCATGTGCTAATTATCTTAAGCAATAGTCTGAAGACTTAAATTCTGTTAATTTTTTTTTTAACTAAACTTTCTCTTTACTTAATAGGTAGAAAGTCTTTACCCTCAAATTGGCTGGGTTGAAATCGATCCTGACGTGCTCTGGGCCCAATTTATTGCTGTAATAAAAGATTCAGTCAAAGGTAATTGGATTTATAGAAATAATAACCTCTGCTGTATATTTTGTTTTTATTAAGAGTTTCTGGTTTTCTTAAGTTATAATATGCATATAGTATTTTACTGGGGTCATAGTTTCTGTATTTTTAATGTGGAAATTTGTGATTTATCAGGAGGTACTTTATCCAAGAACCTAACAGCCTGTCTCCTCTTGTTCGTCTCTTTGTGGCTGTGATATGGCAAGTGCCCGCCCTCCTTTGTGCCAGGTGGTAGCTCATGCCTCCTTGATGTCCTGTTGGGGACAAAGTACCAGAGGATCATAAACAAAGTTACTAGGTATAGTTCCTGCTCTCATGAGGTTTACAGCTGAGTTACCTTCGTTGTAAAATGGGTTCTTGTTTGGTTTGCTGTGTGGCTACTTGGCAAAGTGCTCTGGCTCGTATTAAATCTTTGCTGTTGAGGAGTGTTTTCATTGCAGCCTTGTTTAAGAATATGACATGATGATATGTAAATGTATGTTTGAAAAATTATTTGACCTACTTTTTAAAAAAATTATTTTATTTTTATTGGGAAGGCAGCTGTAACAGAGAGAAGGAGAGATAGAAAGATCTTCTGTCCACTGATTCACTTCCCAAGTAGCTGCAATAGCTAGAACTGAGCCAATCCAAAGGCAGGAGCCAGGAGCTTCTTCCAGGTGTCCCTTGCAAGTCCAGGGTCCCAAGGCTTTGGGCCATCTTCTGCTGCTTTCCCAGGCCACAAGCAGGCAGCTGGAAGGGAAGTGGAACAGCTGGGGCACAAACCGGGATCCCGGGGCATGCAAGGTGAGAATTTCAGCCACCAGGCTATCGTGCTGAGCCCGTGACTTAATTTTTCTGATTGAATTGTTTCACCTCATCTTTTTAATGTGAAACATTTCAAAACTTATTAAAAAAACTGTAAAAATGTTATGGTCAAAACCTATACACTTTTCTCTTACAAACATATTTTGCCTCATTTACCATTCTTGATAAACTATTTTCATTCTAAACCTTTCAAAGCTTTACTGTCACATAATAATAAACTGCCACTTCGATGTACTGCAGTATCATCTCCGAAGGAAAGGAGTATTTTCCTATATGACCACAGTGCAGTTACCATGCTCAGAAAATTTAACATGGATGCAGTTTGTTTTACAGTGCTCAATCTTCAGTGTTCCCTCTTATCATTTTAAAATCTAGAATCCCACCGAAGATGAGGCATTCCATTTTGCTGTCAATCTCTATTCTTCTTTAATCTAGAACATGTTATTTTTGATACTGTGGTTGTTTTCACAGGTACAGACCAAATTGTTGGACTCTACCCTAACTTTGGGGTTGTCTGATTCTATCCTGTGATGAAATTGTGGGTAAATATGTTTTTTAAGATTTATCTATTTTTATTGGAAAGATTTTTATTTTATTGGACAGATCTTCCATCCCATGATTCATTCCCTAAATAGACTCAATGGCCAAAGCTGAGCCAATCCGAAGCCAGGAGCCTGGAGCCTCTTCTGGGTCTCCCCCATGGGTGCAGGATTCCAAGACTTTGGGTCGTCCTCAGCTGCTTTCCCTGGCCTCAGTCAGGGAGCTGGATGGGAAGTAGAGCTGCCAGGATTAGAACCAGCAGCCCATATGGAATCCTGACACATAACTGGCAAGGACTTCATCGTCTAGGCTACCACTCTGGGCCCATGATAAATATTTTTTGGAGAAATTATATATAGGGGGTAATTCATTTTTGTCAGAACTCAGATTGAAAGAGTTCCATATATTTCCAGCTGGGTAAAATGTTTTAAAAATATTCCATGCGGGCCCGGCGCGGTGGCACAAGTGGTTAAAGGTCCTCGCCTTGCACGCCCGGGATCCCATATGGGCACCGGTTCTAATCCCGGCAGCCTCGCTTCCCTTCCAGCTCCCTGCCTGTGGCCTGGGAAAGCAGTCGAGGACGGCCCAAAGCTTTGGGAACCTGCACCCGCGTGGGAGACCCCAAAGAGGCTTCTGGCTTCGGATCGGCATAGTATCGGCCTGTTGCGCTCACTTGGGGAGTGAATCATCGGACGGAAGATCTTCCTCTCTGTCTCTCCTCTCTGTATATCCGCCTTTCCAATGAAAAAATAATAAAAATAAATCTTTAAAAAAAAAATATTCCATGCGGGCCCAGTGCGATAGCGTAGTGGTTAAAGTCCTTGCCTTGAATGCATCAGGGTCCCATATGGGTGCCGGTTCTAATCCCAGCAGCCCTGCTCCCCATCTAGTTCCCTGCTTGTGGCCTGGGAATGCAGTCGAGGACGGCCCAAAGCTTTGGGACCCTGCACCTGTGTGGGAGACCTGGAGGAAGCTCCTGGCTTCGAACTGGCTCAGTTCTAGCCGTTGCGGCCACTTGGGGAGTAAAGCATCAGATGGAAAAACTTCCTCTCTGTCAGATGGAAGAACTTCCTCTCTGGCTCTCCTCCTCTCTGTATATCCATCTTTCCAATAAAAATTAATAAATCTTAAAATATTTCATGCATGCGCACACAATTGAATTGCTATATTTTGTGAAAGTTGCTTCATGAAACTATGCTTATTTACTGCCTTGGCATCTGTTTGTGCTGAAAATAAGGTCTCTCCTTAATAATTACCTTTTTTTTTTCTTTTTATTGTGTTAACCTAGTTTTATTAAGGTTGCCCACTAGGGTGTTGTGATGTAGTGGGTTAAGCAGCTGCCCACAACACTGGCATCCCTTATTGACACTGGTTCAAGTCCCAGCTGCTTGACTTGCAATCTGGATCCCTACTAATGGGCCTGGGAAAACAGTGGGAGAATGTGCAAGCACTTAAGCCCCTGTACCCAAATGGAAAATTCAGATGGGGTTCCGGGCTCCTGGCTTCAGCCTGGTCCAGTCTCAGATATTGCAGCCATTTGAAAAGTGAACCAGCAAATCAAAGATCCCCATCTCTCTGTCGCTGTCTCTCTTCTATATAAACCTCTGCCTTTCAAAGAAATAAACTAGTAAGTGTGGAATGGTTAACTATTTAGGCTGTGAGATTAGGCGAATGTAAAGCCTGACCCTTGCCTAATTAAGATTTAATTTTTTTTAGGTTTATAGTATTCATTTGAAAGGCAGAGTTCCAAAGAGAGGAGGGAGGAAGAGAATTCCACTCCTAAATGACTGCGGGGGCCAGGGCTGGGCCTATCCGAAGGCAGAAATCGGCAGCTTCTTCCAGGGCTCCCAGATTTGTTTTTGTTTATGTTTTGCAGTTTAAGGTTAGGGCTTATCACCATGGTGACAGACTTTGAGAACAGACCTCTGAGACAGTGGCCTGCGACGTCATCGTCGCCAGCTCTTGGCTTTGCTGTGCTTTTTCTTCTGTGGTGGAAGGCAGCCCGACTACAAGGCCCCCACAGACTGTCCATCGCTCCTGTATCATCACCTCAGCCTTCATTCAAAGGAAGCACTTTCTCTTTTGCTGGCATTCCAGTCTTGCTGTTTCTGCTAATTGCTTAGCTATTCTGGAATGTTTTTTTGGTTTTTTTTCCCTCTGCTTCTCTTTTTGATGTTGTCCTTCACTACTTGCATGAAGGTTGTTCTGAAGTTAATCAAATAAGTAAAAAAAAAAGTCTTCCACTGAAACTTTCTTCACATCAGTGGCATGGTGTTCCATTATGTTGTGGTATAAATTTTGTAAGTTTTCGTGTAACTTTGAAAGGTTTTTATAGTGTTTTACATTGGTATCAAAGCTGGACATCTTTGTCATAAACTTGCCGTGTGAGTCCTCAGGAAGGCCAACTTGTTTCCTGTGTCTCATTGTTTTGCCAAGGCCATTAGCAGGGAACTGGAACATCCAGTATTTTAGTATTACCGAGAAGAAAATTCAGCCTAACCTTGAGTAGTAGTTTTTTCCCTGACATTTGAAGAAAAGCACTTATTTTTAAAGATTTATGTATTTTCCCTTGGAAGAATTTCAGAGAGATGGACAGAGATTTTTCCATCTGCTAGTTTGCTCCTTAAAACCTCTATTTTGTTACTATTAGCATATGTTCTTTTTTCCTCTTTAAGTAAAATACTTCAGATCATCTTAATAATGTTCTATTAATTCCAGTTATTATATTAAAATGGCAAACCCAATACCTAATCCTAAGACCTAAAGCTATTGAAACTCCCAGAAGCATGGAGGAAACATTTCCAGACGTTACTATGGAGGCAGACATTTGGCATTGTGGTTAATATAACTAGTTAAGATGCTTGGGTCTCGTATGAGAGTGTTTGGGTTTGCTACCCGTTGCTACCAGGCTCTTCCTTCTGAACTGAGTTTCCTGCTAATGTGGACGCCAGGATGCGATACTGCTGGCTGAGGTGGTTGGGTTTCTGTCATCTGTGTGGGGAACCCGGAGTGAGTTGCTAGTTCCTGGCTGCAGTGCAGCCCAATTCTAGCTGTTGTGAGTGTCTGTAAGATATATTCCCCTTCTTTTCCTGTCAGATAAATGAAAACGGCATTGGTTTAAGTAGTCATTTTCCAGGTAAGACAGATGCACAGACAACAAAAGCCAAAATAGACAGGTGGTGTTCTGTCAAACCAAGAAACTTCTGCATAGCAAGGGAAATCAGAGTGAAGGTACAACTAGCAGGATGGAGAAAATAAATCTGAGAAAGATTCATATTTGGGAGTATGAGGAATTTAAAAAATTCTATCACACATACAAGTAAAAATGAATAAATGATCTAGATAAATGTTTCTCAGTAGGCTAATACTCCACCTTCAAGTGCCAGAACCCCACATGGGTGCCAGTTCATGTCCTGACTTTTCCACCAGCTCCCTGCTGATGACTTGGGAAAAGAGTGGACGTTGGCCAAGGGCCTTGGGACCCTGCACCCACGTTGCAGACCTGGAAGAAATTCCTGGCTCTTGGTTTTGATTCAGCTCTCACCCTTGTGGAGTGAACCATCTGATGGAAGATCTTTCCCTCTCTGACTCTTCTTCCCTCTGTAAATCTACCTTTCCACTAAAAGTAAATAAAAAAGAAAAGAAAACCTACAAATGCCCAGATACATATATGAATAAGTGCTATCATGCACCATCAGGGAAATGCATATCAAAGCTATAATGAGAAATAACCTCACCCCAGCTAGATTTTTTTAAAAGGTTTGTTTATTTGAAAGACAAAGTTGCACAAAGAACAAGAGAAAGAAAGAGATTGGGAGATTTTCTGTCTGTGCTTTACTCCCCAGATGTCTACATTGGCAAAGGCTGATCAAGCTGAAGCTAGGAGCTAGGAACTTCTTCACTCTCTCGTGTCAGTGACAGAGGCGCACACACTTGCGCCATCTTTTGTGTCTTTTCCAACACATTAGCAGGTAGTTGGATCAGAGGTGGAACAACTGGTACTCAAACCAGTGCCCTGTGGCATGCCAGCAATGTAGGCAGCAACTTAACTCACAGTGCCACAACACTAGCCCCAGATGGAGTGACTTTCATGACAGAAAAAGGTGCTATTGAGAATGTGGAGAAAATGCAGCTCTTCGTTTAAACTTTCATTGTTCCTTTTCATTTTATTGGCATGGCAAAGAAAAACAGCAACAGAAGAATATCTTCCATCCACTGATTCACTCACTAAATACTCCTCAAGCATGGATGGGCCAGACTAAAGCCAGGAACTCTGAACTCAGTCTAGATATTTTATGGTTCCCAGCTGGATCCAACTACTTAAGTTAACATCTGCCTCCCAGGGTCCATATTGGTAGGAATGTGGGTTGGAAGCAAAGTAGCCGGTACTCAGTGCAGCCACTTGGATATAGGATGTGGGCATCCCAAATGGAAACGTAAGTACTGCAGCAAATGTTTGCTGCTCAGAACGGAACTTGTCTACACTGTTAGGGGGCATATAAATGCTGCCAATTTGGAGAGCTTCAAAGTAACAGATCCCATTATATGATCCAGCAATCCTATTTCAGAATATATATCCAAAGAAAATGAAATTGCATGCGCCGGGATCTCATTTGGGCGCCAGTTCATGTCCTGGCTGCTTTACTTCTCTTCTAGCTCCTTGCCTGTGGCCTAGGAAAGCAGTCAAAGATGGCCCAAGTCCTTGGGGCTGTGTACCACAATGGAGACCTGGAAGAAGCTGCTGGCTCCTGGCTTGAGATCGACTCAACTCCAGCCATTGTGGCCACAGAGGAGTTAACCACCAGATAGAAGATCTTTCTCTCTGTCTTTCCTTTCCTCTGTATATCTGTTTTTCAAATAAAAATAATAAAATTTAAAAAAAAGGAAAGGAAATGAGCATATGTGAGTGCTAAGAGAGATATAGTCTAGTGGCTGAGGTTGGTTGTCTCTCATTACAGCCCTTGTGTTTGCTTCTGAGCTCTGGCTCCTGGTTACAGCTTCCTGTTAACTCGGACTCTGGGAGGCAGCAGGGATGGCTAAGGACTTGGGCTGTCCTAGACAGCTCCCAGCTTCCGCCTGGCCTAGCCCTGACCATTGTGGGCATCTGAGAAGTGAGCCAGTAGATGAAAGTGTTTCTCTCTCACACACACATGCACACACATTTTTAAAAAGAGAGATAAGAGATATATTCATATAGTTATCATAATTTACAATGGCTAAAATCTGGGATTAGCTTAAGTGCTACCAGTGGATGAATTAATTAAGAAAATGTAGAAAATATCACCAATGGCATACTACTCAGTAGTAAAAATGAATGTAATCTAGTCAGTCAGAGTGAAATGATGGAACTAGAGGCTATCGTGTTAAGTGAAATAAGCTAGATACACATGTTGACTAAGAAAAAAATCAGTTGCATATAGAATAGTGATAACAAAAGGTTCAAATATGGGAGAGAAGGTGATAGAAGGAGACTGGTTAACAGTTGGATAACCAAAAACAGGGAAGAAGGCTAGATTACAGAGTTCTGTATATACTGCACAAGGACCTGCTATATATTTTATAAGGAACTGAAAGTGGGTGTCAACGAGTACAATCATGAAGAAACAATAGAGACACACATGCTGGTTAAATACAGGGACTGTCTGAAACTTTTGTGGGAAATGCATATAATGAAACAGCTATGCATGAATTTCAAAAATGTTTGCACCAGAGTAACTTATTTTAGTTTAGATTTTCCACTAAGTTTTTGAAGTACCCTAACTTGTGACTATGAATATCAGTCAAAAAGTTTTACAAATACTGATGCCAAATGATTATCTTTAAAAATCATGACAGATAATTTCTTTTGTATACTGTAATAATTTAATGAAACACTTCCCTAACTTTTAAACACATACTTTATCTTCTAGCTGCAGGAATACAGATGAATCAAATTGTTGGTCTTGGCATATCAACACAGAGAGCAACTTTCATTACGTGGAACAAGTAAGTGCATTGTGTGATAAGCCCTCTACTCTCAGTTCACGCTATAGTGGATACACTGCTGTGGAACCTGTTAGGGGAGGTTTCGTTTGGAAAAGGAGAACAGTTTTGCTTGCTTAAGATGACAGGCATATTCCCTTCCTGTCATCTCGGCTTGGCTTCTATAAAATAGTAACATTAAAAAGATCATTGCTGTTATTAAAATTCTCTGTTCCTTTTTTTAAAAATTGAAAAATATATTGAATTTATTTATTTTTGTTGGAAAGACAAATCAGATTTGCAGAGATAAGGAAAAACAGACAGATCTTCCATTCACTTGTTCACTCCCCAAATGGCCACAAGGGCCAGAGGTGAGCCATCCACAGCCAGGAGCCAGGAGCCTTTTTTTGGATCTTTCACATGGGTGCAGGGTCCCAATGTGTTGTGCCATCCTCTACTGCTTTCCCAGCCCTCGGCAGGGAGCCAGATGGGAAATGGAGCACCTGGGGACCCAAACCGATGCCTCTATGGGATCCTAGTGCTTACAAGGTGAGGATTTAGCCATTGAGCCAGTATGCTGGGCTCTGGTTTTTGTTTTTTTGTTTTTTTTTTTTTTAACTTTCCAAATAAACCTGGATCGAAGGTCTAAAACAATCGGTTGTGCCAAAAGAGAGTTAAAGGAACCTAACAAATACAACATGTGTTTGTTTTCAGTCTACTTCAAATATATTTAATTAATTTATTTAAATCTAGGATAAGACAGGTTTAGCATGATTATAATACAGTAGCTACCACATAGTCCACCAGTGTTACTACATATTTCTTTATCCTTAAATAAACCTGTTATTTAGGTATCATGTCTGTTTTTGCAAAAGAAAAGGAAATTGAAGTAAAAAAAGCACATTGTTCAAGGTCAGTCAGTACGTAGAACCAAGATTTCAGATTCTCTTACTGACTCCAGTCTCTATTCTTTCCACTATCCTTGTAATGCCTTCAGCATGTGTTACTTGCTTTTTTTCTTTTTTGAGAACAGAACAGAACAGAACTGTATTTGTTGTTAAGCACGGGGCCACCAAGGACATCTTGAGCTTGGGCTGTGGGAAAGAAATGTGGGATGACTCTGAGGAAGATAAGCAAGACTGAATTCACAAGGAGTTGGCTTTTCATGCAGGATCTGACAAGAGGGCTGGTGTGGGTTTACCAGTATTTCCAGCCTGCACATTTGGGAGGATGTGGTAGAAATGATAAGAATCTAAGAGAAACAGTGGTATAAGTGGTGGTGTTGATGGTGGTGGGTAGAAGGGAAGCCACTCAGGTGGCTGGTTTTACACATGTGGATGTGGAAATGCCCCAGAGTTTTTTGGATCACCATTCTGATGTCAACAGAGACGTGCAACATCTCCCGCCAATGGGTACTCTGGGTTTTTAGGGGGCAGTGCATTTCAGGTTGAGGCTTCTGTAGTCCACCTGTACCACTCCCTGAATGACTTTGGGTACACCTTAACATAGGAATATACATGTCAGTTGAAGAAACAGATATAAGTTGTCTGTGTAGATCAAGGTGTCTGGTCATTTGGGGACCAGATTATTCTTTGTTTGAAAACTTGCCTGTGCCGTATCTGTTTAGCAACACCTCTGGCCTCTACCTGCTAGGTGTCAGCACTATCCCCACCCCACACCATTATTATGACAACCACAGATGCCTTCAGATGTTGCCAGTGGTACTCCATTTGAGAACCTTTGGTGTGGACAAAGCATTGGAAAGTAGATGTGTTCTCTGGCAGAAGTTATGTGGGGAAAAGAGAAGCAGATTGAAGATTGGGACTGTGAGTGTCTTCCCCAAATGAATTTTATATTCTGATGTAAATATTTATTAATTTATTGCAAAGTCAGAGTTATAAAGAGAAAGGGAGGGAAAAAGAGAGAAAGAGAAGGAGAGAGGGAGAGCCAGAGTGAGAGAAAAAGAGAGAGTGCTTCTTTTTGCTGGTTTACTCCCCAAATGATACAACAGCAGCAGTTGGGTTAGGGTGCAGCTGGGAACCAAGAACTTCTTCCAGGTCTTCCAAGTAGGTGGCAGGGGCTCAAATACTTAGGCCATTCTCCACTGCTTTCCCTAGGCCATTAGGAGGCAACTGGATCCAAAGTAGAGCAGCTGGGGACATGACCTGGCACCCACATGGGATGCTTGTGGTGGTTGTTCCTGCCATGCTACAGTGCTGACTCTACTTTTATCCTTAACTTTATTTATTTGAGACCCTAAAAGAGAGCAAAAAAGAAGATACCATATCATGCACTGGTTCACTCCCCAAATGCATGCCACGGCTGGGGCTGGGGTGTGAAATGGGAACTCAGCCCATGTCCCCTGTGTGAGTAGCACCCGCTATTACCTGCTGCCTCTTGCATCTTCATTAGCAGGAAGCTGGAATCAGGGTCTGGAACCAGGAATTGATGTGGGAAGTGGGTATCCTAAGCAGGCAGCTTAACCGCTGGGCAGAATTCCATTCTGAAACTTCAGGGGAGTCTGGAAAGAAGACACTGACGAGGCAGGACCAAGACAAGTTTGAGAAGTGGATGGTATTGGAAAGGGAAGCAGGATAGTGTTCCATGAAGGAGCTGATTGGCAATGGGATTGTTTCCTTATCACTGATTTCAGGAGGGTCTTAGTAGTATGAAGTGTGTGTCCTGTTGTGGCACTAGGTACATATCTTCCTTTTAGAAAACATGGAAGAGTCACTTCCTTCACTGATGTTGCTGTTGATATAAAAGAATATGATTTCTTCCTAAGTGATTAGCTGCGAGTTGGTTTTCTTGGCTGTCTTTTTTTTTTTTTTTAAATCTTTTGAAGTGTGTATATTCTCTTAGGAGTTTTGGAAACACTTCTTTGCTTCTAGTTACTAAAGCTGGATATTTTTCAGAAAAACTCGCGCAACTTCTTGCCTCTTGCCTGAAAATCGTGAAACTCTATTCAGCTCACTGGGCCTCAGTGAGCCACTGTTGCTGCTGGCAGAGCCTCCAAGCTCCCCAAGGAGCAGCCAAGACACAGCAGTGGCCCAGCTCTGATCCAGCAGGAAGTACTTCTTTCCCATTAGCTGAAGAAAAAAGAGCCTGCTTCTTTCCTCTAGAACAATCTATTGTTCACTGCAGTCCAGCTGGCCCTGCCTGCTCCTAGCTCGTTGAGTTTTCCCCCTCTTGTGTCCATGGTGCATTTGTGTCCTTTTGGCCATAGAAATGTGATTCTTGCTGCTGTTAGAGATCTAAACTTTGAACTTTCCTTTTGCTTTTCTGTTTGTTTCTTCTCTCTCACCCTCTAGATTAGGGAGCTCCGGTTTTATATTAACTTTTTTCAATCCTTGAGTTTTCTTCATATTCAAGTTACGCTTTTATTGCCAGTATTGAATGAATGTTGTGTTAAGCCTTCTTTCTAAAGTAACTCTAAGTGATAGCTTCTCCATCTTGCCTCTTTGAACTTCCTTTATTCTAAGAAATCAGAAACTTTCTTGAATCCACATGTCTCATAGGACATAATCTGCCAAGTAGTTTCAGATCAGGGAGCATGCCAATTAGCAATATAAACCATGAGTCACACGAGCTGGAATTCATGTGCTCACTGTTACAGGGCTCACAGGAGCAAGGCACTGGGCTGATCACTGAACTCAGACTGAGGAGGGAGAAGAATACCAGCCCTGGAGTGGGTGTTGTGGTGAAGTTAACTGTGCTTGGGTTGCCTGCATCCCATATTAGAGTCCTGCCTCCTGTTCTCATGTGGCTTCTTGCTAGCATGCCTCAGGAAACAACACATGGTCCTGGTTCAAGTACCTGGTTTCCTGTCATCCATGTGGGAGACCTGAATGCAGATCCTGGCTCCTGAGGTCAGCCTCATGCAGTTTTTGCCAATGTGAACATTTTAGGTGGAAGGAAACAGATGAAAGGTCTCTCTCTCTCTCTCCCTCTGTCACTCTTTTTTTCCCCCAAATATTTATTTTTCTTGAAAAGGTAGATTTACAGAGAAAAGGAGAGACAGAAAGATCTTCTGTGCACTGGTTCATTCCCCAAGTGGCTATAACAGCCGGAACTGTGCCCATTTGATGCCAGGAGCCAGGAGCTTCTTCTTGGTCTCCCACATGGGTGCAGGGTCCCAAGGCTTTAGGCCTTCCTCAATTGCTTTCCCAGGCCACAACTAGGGAGCTGTTTTGGCAGTGGAGCAGCTGGGATTAGAACCAGTGGCCATATGAGTTCATGCCATTTGCAAAGGGAGGATTTAGTCAGTGAGCCATTGTACCGGGCCCCTTTCTCTGTTACTCTTTCAGGTAATAAATAAATTCTTATTTTAAAATGCCTATCCTCTAGGAATTTAGTTTTATATGTATATGAATTACTCTGTATTCCCACCATACCAAATACTTCCTTTATTGTGGTATTTATTACTTATGGAAATAATTATCATGGACATATGACACATAATATATAAAGAGCCGCAGAAGGGTGTAAGGTGTGAGAAGGGTTTATGACATTTTATTTACAACAATACTATTTCTGGTATCCTTCATTTCTCCTTTTATTGTAATAGAGATGGAGTAAATGCCATTACTTGAGATCAGAATTCTAGATGGTCTTAGGTTGAGATAATCTGCTTTATCTTAGAATCTTTTCCTCCTCTTTGTTCAATGTCCTTCACTTGTTCTGATATATCATACTTCATCCTGCCTTTGGATCTATCGCATATTTTGTCCAGGTGTTCACTGTCCTGCTTAATTCCTAGCTCATTCTTTAGAGCTATTGCCATTTCTTAAAGAAGCCGTTGCTGACCCCTGCGCTAGGGGAGGATCTGACCTGTTAAATGTACTCTTAGCACCTTGTATTTCTGCAGCATAGGACTGGCTCCTGTTGTAATTGATCATTTATTTCAATTTCCCTGTAGAAGGGATAGTGATAAGGATGAGGATGCCATGTCTCTCTGTTCACAGCTATATCCCAGCTCCCAGAAATTGTTTTATAAGTACATGTTTGAAATCAGAGAAGATGTGGCCTAGATTGCTTAGTGGGGTGGCAGGGCATGACAGCTTTGGGAACTGGACATGGTAATGTTTCCATGGGGAGACCTAGAGACAGAGTAGAAAGGAAGCCTGAGTTTAATATTGAAAATCAGCAGATGTCAATGTCAATTTGCCAACGCCTCAAAAGAAAGCTTTTTTTGTTTTTTCCCTCTTCTGTATGTCTGTACTTTTATTGTAGTATTGGCTATGAGTGAGATGAGATCTTGTTTATTGGGGAAGTTTTGTTATGTCAGGTTCCCAGGGGCTAACCCCATCCCAAAGCTAATAGGTGTAGAATAGGATCCGGCTGTATCTCAGCCTTCCTGATGGAGGATTCTGTCTGACAAATGCAGTGTAGGGGAGATGTGTTGGTGTCTTAGCTTGCTTTCCAATGTTTCTAGGTCAGATTGTCAAAGGCCTTTTCATGAGTAATGTTTGTTTTTAGAGGCATGTACATTGTTGTGTTTCAAATAGAATTTTATCTCAAGTTTCATGCTATAGGTTGCACCCTATTTTGTTTTGTGCAGTTTGTTGTTCATAAAATCAGAGAAAAGTCATTTAGAAAGTGGAACTAAGTCATACTTCGACATTACAATTTGGTCTCATTTTTTTTTTTCTCTTGTGCAGATCTTTCATACAGTGTTTGATTTATACTGAGTCTCAAAGTACTGTTTCCATCTTTCGTAGGAAAACAGGACATCATTTTCACAACTTCATTAGTTGGCAAGACCTAAGAGCTATTGAACTGGTAAAATCTTGGAATAGTTCTCTTCTAATGAAGGTAATATTTTTCTTCTGTGATTTGGATATTGTTTTCTCCTGTAAATGGCCCTCAATGGGCGTTAAGAAAAGAATACACATATATACACATTGTCTATATCAGTAAAATCTAGTAATTGTCACCCAGCAGCATCCATGGTGCACTGAAGTACTTAAAACTTGTAGCACAAGAAATTCCCCAGGTGTGGGTTTAGAATGGACCAGTTATACATGTTCGTGAAAAATCCATGTTTCTGTCCTTGAAACATGCAAAATGTATAGTCTAAATAGAATGAAATGGTAAATTTTCATCCTTTCTGTGTATAAAAGTAGAGAAAGGGGAGCAGGCTGGTGACACAACAAGCTAATCATTTGCCCTGTGGTGCTGGCATCCTGTATTGGCACCAGTTCATATCTCAGCTGCTCCGCTTCTGATCCAGCTCCCTGGTTATGACTTGTGAAAGTAGTGGAGGATGGCCCATGTCCTTAAGACCCTGTACACACATGGAAGACCCAAAAGAAACTCCTGGCTTCAGCTCATCTCAAGCTTTGGCTCTTTGTAGCCATTTGAGGATATAAACCAGTGGATGGAAGACCTCTCTTTGGGAAATAATGCCTTTCAAATAAAGATAAATAATAATAATAACTATTATTAATATATATATATATTCTAGTTAAAAAAAAGGTTTATTGAGATAGATAGGTAGCCACCTGCCCTATAGTCTCAATTTTATGAAGTGGAAAAGACAATAGCCTACAAAGGTGAAATGACCAAATTTCAATATCTTTGGTTAGAAAAGTAGAGAAAGGATATTGAGATAGAGAGCTCACAAACTGCCTGTGCTCTTAATGTTGTGCTTGCCACATAGTGGGCCCTCAGTAAATGGCTGCTGATAACCATCATTATGGTGACCACAGCAACAGCATGGACTTTAGCTGCTCTTGTGTCACTTCTTACAGGCATCCTTTACCCCCGAGTGTGAGCTCACTGAGTTGTAAAATGACTTTGCAACTCCTCAGATGTGATCAGACTAACAATATGTGTTGTTATAACCCATATGCTATATTGATTATTTTAATACTTCTAATGTGTCACTCAGTGTCTTCTCAGCTCATGTACTGGTTGGTACTCGATGGCACACCGAGGAGTGTCTGGAGTGTCAATTTACTTGATAAGCATTTGAAGACATTAATTTTATATGAAAATAACATGAGTATACTCAGAATATTGCAAAAATGCATAAATGACACAGTGTTTCCATAATATCACATATATAGACCTTTATTTTTATGAGTTTAAGATATAAAAATACATCTTGCTGTAACAACTTGTGAAGATGAATATTGAGAGTTGTCATTTATAGGAAGGGCTCATATTGATTATAGGAACTTCAGATTCTCATAAGGAAATCAGATGGACCCTGAATTGTAAACTTTAAAGCTGTTATATGCTTTCTGCACCTTAGAATACAATTTTAGTTTTCAAGAATTCATGGGACATCCCTCTGAAAATAAATTATGACCTTAAATACATTTACATTTATAGTATAAGCCTCATATTCTCAAATCTTGTTGTAAAACCATGACGTCAAGGTAAAAACTAAGCATCTGAATCAGTTTGTCTGCCTGATATTGGACATATGCATCAAGTTTTGATTCTTATAACTGGAAAATTGCAACCAAGCATAGTTTAGTGTACACAGCTCCAGGTCCTGTTCAGACAATGAAAGGGCCCTGCCTTGCACTCATCCTGCTACTAATGGCTCTTGGAAATGTCTCTCAAGTACCTGTCAGAGTTGGTACCAAGACGATTGCTTTGGCCAAGGTTAGTTCCCATTGCTGGATGTGCATGTATATGTGTTGAATTCCATACAGTGTTTTCATCTGTATGGGTTCATGTAGCCATCATCACATGTAACATGCTGACCAATTCCATCCTCATAAGGATTGCTTGTGTTGGTTTTTCCTAACCACATCCAGCTCTCTTTTACATGATTTTGTTCTCTCTTATCTCTAACTCCTTGCAGCTGTTCATCTGTCCTCTATTTAAAAATGTTCTAATTTCAAAAGCATATATAAGATTTTATCATGGTGATTTTAAAAAGGGAAGTGATAAATTTACATCCTTTGGAATAGTATATAGCTTTGGAAACATTTAAAACTTCACCAATTGATTTTAAAAATATTGTATAATTTGAACCTGTTAGCTCAAAAAAAGTCAACCTAGAAAGAAAAAGATTACTATAAAAAGCCAAGACGTGTATAACTATAACCCCTTATTCCTATGCCATATTATATCATTTTGACTAAAGTAAAAAGAAAGACTGGATTATGATCTTCATATGTTTTTCCAATAGATATTAAGAAATGACAAATAATAACCCTTTGGAAAAAGTAATAGTAACACAATGGGTTCAGAATGTGTACTTAGGAAACCATTGTTGTGTGTAACGGATAAAGGCACCATCTGCAATGCCAACATCCCATATGGATGCTGGTTCATGTCCCACCTGTTCCATTTCCAATGCAGCTCTCTGTTCATGTCCTGGGAAAAGCATCAGAAGATGGCTCAATTTTGCTGCATCCCATGTGTTTTGATGTTTTTGATTTTGTTTTTATTTCTTCCAAATACTTTCTTTTCTCTTGTCAAATTCATCGCTGACTCAAGGATCACATGGTGGCATCATTTTACCCAAGAAGCAGTTGTGTTTTCTTTTTGTCACCCTTTTGTTAGTTATTCAGTGCATTTTTTCGACTCCATGGTGCTGTATTTCTTCTTTTTTTTTTTTTTAACTTCATACCTGTTGTTGACTTTGTTTTGTGGCTTCTCATTTAAGGGAGTGTGTAGTGATGGAGCAATAGAGACTACCATATCCAGATGTGAAGATACAATGCAGCACGCATCCCTACTTTCAAATCAAGGATGGACTCCCAGTGAAACTGTTGGGCATATCTAGACAATGGGATGCTGGACTTTCTGACATTGTTTGTACCAGCAATGTGCAGGCACACTTAAATAATAAATTGATGGAATTATAACTCCTTATGAAGGACTATACTGTTTACTGTTGTAACACTATGGGGAAAATCAATGGGGGGTGGGAATTTGGAGGGGTGGATCCCAGATGCTAAAGAATTATACCATAAAATTAAAAATTATAAATAGAAATCTAAAAAATTAAAATAAAAAAGAAGGTAGCTCAAGTGTTTGGGCCCCTGCCATTCATGTGGGAGACCCGGAGGAGGCTCCCGGTTCCTGGTTTTGGCCTGGTCCAGCGCTGGCTGATGTAGCCATCCAGGGGGCGAACCAATGGATGGAAAATATTCTCTCCCTCTGAAAGGTCTGCTAGCAGCTTTTTATAATAATTATTTGAATAGCAGTGAACTGATCCTTCTGTACGGCTGGTAGACTTAGGTGTACCTGTCTCAAAAAAATAAGAGTGCAGCAAATGAGCCTTCTTCCTTGACTGAGTTCCCCTACTTCCATAGTTAAAAATAAGTAGACAGGTAAAATTTTGAAAGACTTTTATGGTCAAAGGAGTTAACATATGTTAATTTTCATATGTTACAATATAGATTTGTCCATGCTGGATCATTTTGCAGTACTTGATTTTCTAATGTGTTGATAACACTAACAAAAGAAGTTCAGTGACTTGTTTTCTATATTTTTTTTATTTGTGCATAGAATTGATATAGAAACAGCATACCTCATTAAACACATTTTGTTAAAATGCATTTTTCTTTAACAGCTGATACACAGTTCTTGCCGAGTGCTTCATTTTTTCACTAGAAGTAAACGACTTCTAGGAGCCAATCTGTTCACATTCACCACGCAGCATGCTTCTCTGCGACTGGCCTGGGTTTTACAGAATATAAAAGAGGTAAGGAAAGACTGTGTGCAGAAACAAGATAAAGACCAGGGGATAGAAAATGTTCAAGGAATAAAGATAGTAATTGGCTATTGGAGGGAAAATTGTGTCCACCATATATTGGAATGGAAGACAAGGTGCCTTTATATGATTCATTTTTTTAAACCTGTTTATTATGTTCTAATGCATCTATAAAGGTGAACACACCACAAATGAACCACTCTATGCTGTACTGTATAGTCAGTTCCTGTGTGATATCACTTGCATCAAAATTAGGACACTAATAACTAAATATTACATTTTCTTTCTGCTTTTATAATTTGTGTGTTATAATTTATGTGTTTATTTCTTATTTCCATACTTTAATTTTGAATATGTTTTCAACCACAAGATGGAATTGTATCTTTTGTCTCAAATTCCTTTGTGTCAACGTATTTGTGTAATATACTGTGTGTAAACTAACAATCTTTAACATTTACTGTTTAGTCTTATTTTACCATAATTTATTTGTTTTGAGGATGTACATTTGAGTTCCTTTTGTTTTGGGTTGTTATAATGCATCTGCTTGTACAAAGAGATGAACTTTTAGAGTATGAGTTTGCATACATAATCCTCACCTCCAGTTAATAGTGCCAAAACACTTTTCCAAAGTAGTTATAATGATTTATACATGCAGTATTAGTAAATAAAAAGTCTTTCTATTACTTCTTGCATTATCATGCAGTTCATAAATACTCTTTATTACCTCCCCCCTATACTTTTTAGTATAGAAAGTTTGATTGACATTTTTTAAAACAGATATAGTGGCATGGTCATGTTTATTTTTTACTATGTCTAGTCTACTGATGAGCCCATAAGCTTTCGTCATTTCTGTAGTAGTACTTTTGATTTGTAATATTTCCTTTTTCTTTCTGAGAATTTCCATCCCTCTGCTACCCTTCTGTTCTTGCATCATGTTAATTTCTTTTATTAGGATTTTTACTATACTAACCACAACCATTTAGAGTTCCTTATTCAAAATTTAAAACAACAACAAAATACCTGCCATGCCTGATTCTGGTTCTGTGCTTGCTTTGTTCCTTCAAACTAGATTTTCTTGCCTTCTGATTTTTGTTTGTTTTTGTCCCAAGCTGTACATGATGTACTGGGTGATAGGAACTGAGACCCAGGCTTTTCGACTGAAGTTTTATGTTGGATCTCACTGGGAGTTGTGTTGTATTCCCTCACATCATCTTACTTGTATCTCCTCTGTCATCTCTGGATTTCCCTGGAGACTTCTTTACACAGCCTGGAGCTGGCAGTGCTTTGCGCTGTAACCTTTTAATTCAGCAGTGCTGTTGAGGAGATGAAGTTTGTGCAGGGGCAAAACAGTCCATCATCCTGTATTTGAGAGGCGAGGAGACACACAATGCTCCCACCTGCTGGATCACTCCTTTAAGGGCCTGCACTGTGCCAGGCCTGGGCCAGTTCAAAACTGGGAACTGGAACCTCCGTCTGGCTTTTCCACATGAGTGACAGGGCTGCAACTACTTAGTCATCATTCCTGTCTCACAGGATGTTCGCATTAGCAGGAAGATGAAATGGGGAGATGAGCCAAGACTAACCCAGGCACTCTGATAAAAGGAGGCAGGCATTGCAGCCAGCAGCTTAAGGACTAGCCCAGGCACCCGCCCCACTTTCTGCTCTGTAAGCTCGGACAGGAATGTTAGAGGAGACTTGCTCCTGCCCCTGCCTCAGTTAGACTGTTACAAAAAAAAAAAAAAAAAAAAAAAAAAAAGGTATCCATCCCCCCCACCTCCCTCCATAGAGCCCACTTTGAAGACACACTTTTCCCTTTTCCTTGCCAGAAGCACACTCCCCCTCTGTGCTTCTTTGACTCTTCTTCACGATTCAGCAGAAACTGGTGGAGCTCCTCGAGGTAACTCAAAAGAGTATTGAATTTCTGTAAGTTTGGGCCTCTAGGGTTTTGTTTGTTTTTAGTCTTTAAACCTAGGCCACAGTTTAGTCTCTCCAGCAGTTGATCTGCTGCTGGCGATGTTTTCCTACCAGATTCCAGTTCCTGGTAACCCATTATTCTCTATATTCAACTGTTGTTCATTTGTTTGTTTGTTTTTGTTTTGGTGGCTTTTGTCCTGGACACATTAGCTCTCTAAGAAGAGTTGCTAATTTTTTTTCTCACTTCACTCACCTTTTTTTTTTTTCTTTTTCTTTCTTTTTTTTTATTGGAAAGGTAGATATACAGAGAGGAGAGACAGAGAGGAAGATCTTCCGTCCGATGATTCACTCCCCAAGTGAGCGCAATGGCTGATGCTATGCCGATCCAAAGCCAGGAGCCTCTTCTGGGTCTCCCATGCGGGTGCAGGGTCCCAAAGCCTTGGGCCGTCCTTGACTGCTTTCCCAGGCCGCAGGCAGGGAGCTGGAAGGGAAGCGGGGCTGCTGGGATAGAACCGGCGGCCATATGGGATCCCGGGCGTGCAAGGCGAGGACCTTAACCACTGTGCCACCACGCCGGGCCCTCACCTTTTTTCTTATACAGATGGGAGAGACAGCTTCAGACTTCTTACACAGCAAACAGGAAACTGGATTTTATCATGTGCATTCAAAAGTTTTTTTTTTCCTTGTGTATTTCTTACAATTCTGGATGATGTGTTTTTATTATTATTATTATTGTGAGTATCATAATGAAATTGGATGTTGTTTTTGCTTTATATTTATTACAGGTATTTTCTTCATTTGTCCTCTGCCTCTAAGCTCTCTTAATTATTTCTTCTTAAAAATGTTATTAATTTTAAGGCAATGTAGTTTATCAGTCTTAATATGTACTTCTCATTTTTGTTGTTGTTGTCATCATTTGGAGGAAATAATTTCCTATTCTGAACCCATAATGATACCTACTGTGTCTCTTCCATGAGTCTATACTTAATCTTGAGTGAAGCATGCTGCTGTGGTATATTAGTTTAAGCCTCTGCCTGGGGTGTCAGCATGTTATAAGGATACCAGTTTGAGTCCCAGCTCTTCTGCTTCCGATCCAGCTCCCTGGGAGTGGAACTAGGAAAGCAGTGAAAGCCCTTAGATCCTGCACCCACGTGGGAGAACAGGAAGAAGACTCAAATTCTGCCTTCAGATCAGTTCAGACTGTTGTGACCATTTGGGGAGTGACCCAGCAGTTGAAACATCTCTCTCTCTCTCTCTCTCTCTATTCTGTTCTTTTGCCTTTCAAATAAAAAATAAGTAAATCTTAAAAAAAAAAAAAAAAGCTGGCGTATCTACATGTAACGTATGGCAATCCTCTCCTTTCAGATACCAGATTATCTCTAATGCTAAATGCAGTTTAAATGCCATGGAAGCAGTTGTTACCTTATATTCTTTACAGAATAGTGACCAAAAATGCTCTATATTCTCCAGTAGAGATGCCATTTGGGTTTTTCTTTTTAAGGTTTTTTAAAATTTTCATTACAAAGTCAGATATACAGAGAGGAGGAGAGACAGAGGGGAAGATCTTCCGTCCAATGATTCACTCCCCAAGTGAGCACAACGGCCAATGCTATGCCGATCCAAAGCCAGGATCCAGGAACCTCTTCCAGGTCTCCCACGCGGGTGAAGGGTCCCAAGGCTTTGGGCTGTCTTTGACTGCTTTCCCACGCCACAAGCAGGGAGCTGGATGCGAAATGGAGCTGTCGGGATTAGAAATGGCACCCATATGGGATCCCGGGCATTCAAGGCGAGGACTTTAGCTGCTAGGCCACGGTGCCGGGCCCGCCATGTGTTTATGAAAAATTTTCAAAGATTTAGTTTACTTGCAAGTCAGTTGCAGAGGAAGAGATCACTCCCCAAATGATTGCGATGTCCAGAGCTAGGCTGGTCAGGAAGTCAGAAGCCAGGAGCTTCTTACTGGTCTCCCAGATGAGTGCAGGATCCCAAAACGTTGGACCATCCTCCACTGCTTTCTCAAGCCGTTATCAGGGAACTGGATGGGAAGTGGAGCAGCCAGGACTAGAACCAGCTCCCAAAAAGGATGCTGATGCCACAGGCAAAAGATGAACTTGCTGTGCCACTGCACTGGTGTCATTGAGTATTTTGATTCGTGGTTGGTTGAATCCCTTGATGCAAGACCTGGACACAGCGCTAGCTGTGCATATACACATTAGGCCTTCTTATTCAGTTTCCTGGGTCTTTAACCTTTTTTTATGTATTGCCTATACGTTTGTGCTTCATTCTAGGTATTTTTCCCCTGTTCTATCTTCCAAATCTGTTAACTTCTTAAATTTTTAGTTCTGTAATTAATATACCTCTGTCATTATCAGAATGTTTGTTGAATATTAATTCTAATATCTATAGCTGCCATTGGCTTTCCTTTTTTCCCATTCCCATCTCCCTCCTTATTCTCATTTAGTACCTGGTTATTAGTTTGTGGGACATATTTGAAAATCTGTGGTTGGGAATTATGAGAATCTTGGGGCTGGCGTGATGTCTCATTTTGCTAATCCTCCACCTTTAAGCACAAGCACCCTATACAGGTGCTGGTTTGTGTCCTAGCTGCTCTGCTTTCCAATCAGCTCCCTGCTGATGGCCTGGGAAAGCAGTAGAGGATGGCCCCAATTCTTGGGCTCCTCCGCCCATATGGAAGACCCAGAAGCAGCTCCTGACTTTGGATGGCTCATCTCTGGTCTTTGTAGCCATTTGGGGAGTGAACCAGCAGATGGAAGATTTTCTGTCTTTTTTTTTCTCTAACTCTACCTTTCTTATAAAAATAAATAACTTTTAAAAAAAATGATGAGAATCTTAACTTAATGCTATTTTGCTCTAGAAATTATGTTTGTTTCTTCCCCTCTTCCAGACAGCAGATCATCTTAATCTTAATACCTGAAATGATTTAAATCTGAATTGTACTTCATTCCCTTCTAGTTTACCCTTACTCTTAGGACAGAGCCATTTGGAGTCCTAAATAGGAGTAGGAGGAGGATTGGCCTTGATTTTTCTACCTTAGGGAGTCCTGAATCCACTCTCTACTCCCCTCTAACTTCACAAAACACTAGCTCTTGTCAGAAGGCCTGGCTCATAAGTATTTTTTGGATTAGACAAATGAATTTAGTACCTTTTAAATTTAGTGCTCTTTGTGAACGTAGTACCTTCAAGGTACTCCTCGCTATGCTCCTCCCTAAAATTACTTCCCAGATGACTACCATGGTCATGGCTAAACCAGTCCAAAGCCAGAAACAGGCGCCTCTTCCAGGTCTCCCACATCGGTATAGGGGCCCCAAGCACTAGAACCATCCTCCACTGCCTCCCAAGACCGTAAGCTGTGAGCTGGATCAGAAGCAGAGCAGCTGGGATTTGAAAATGTGCCCATGTGGGATGCCACTTGCACAGGTGATGTGTTGTGCTGCAGTGCTGGCCCCTTAAAGAGGTTTCCATGCTTTTGTTTCTCTTGACATGCTTAGGCCTAAGGATTGGAATTTTTTTTTTCTCTTTGTCCAAATGCCAGAGAGTGATATTTTAGTGCTGCAGGTTTTTGTCACAGCTTTTTTTTTTTTTTTTTTTTTTTGTCAAAACTATTGTAGGAAAGCAGCCAGGGTAATCTCTGGGTGAAAGGGCACCACTGAGTTCTGGTGAGGCCTTGTTTATGGACAGTGAGTATCATGCCTTTATATTTTTAACCATTAAAAAATTTGAAAACCATTCTTACCTTTGTGCACAAGCAAAGGCACTGTACTGGGTTTGGCCTGAGAGCCACACTGTGCTGCCCCTGCTTTCAGCTATACTGGTGTATTTGTGTCTGTGCTGAAAATAGGTGTGTGTGTCACCAGTTTTTAACCATAAAAGTAATACACTTCTAGTTAAAACTAAGGCTTTTCAGAAATACTACACAGACAATTGAAGTCCCCCACCCCCACTAAACCTGAAGCCCTGTAATAATTGCATAGAATCATTTGGAGTATACTCTGAGGGGTTTGGTGTGGTGGTGTAGCCAGGCAATCCTTTGCCTGCAGCACCAACATAGGTGCCAGTTCAAGTCCCAGCTGCTCTACTTCCCATCCAACTTGCTGCTAGTGCCTGGGAAACCAGCAGAGGATGGTCCAAGGCCTTGGATCCTGCACCCACATGGGAGACTCAGAAGAAGCTCCTGGCTCCCAGCTGCAGCCCTACCAAGTTTTAGCCATTGCTACCTTTGGGGAGCGATCAGCAGATGAAAAATTTCTTCCTCCGCGCCTCGCTCTGTAACTCCTTTAATTTAATTATTATTTAATTAAATCTCTAAAAAAGAAAAAAAATCTCAGGAATTATTTTCCTATGTATACATTAGTTTTATCAAAATGGAAGTAAATTATTACATATACACAGACTATTGTCATTGTGCTTGTGGTGAAGAAGTTGGTGCTTGGTGGGGGCCCCAGGATGGAAGGCACGGCCCCGGGTGGCCTCTGGCCCTTTCCTAGACACTCCACCCCCGCCTGCCTTCTTCCTCCCTGCTCAGGCAGGATGAGGCGTGCAGGCCTGGGTGAAGGAGTCCCCTCTGGCAGCTACGGCTACGCTGGCAGCGGGTATAGCACCTGTGAGAAGGAGAACGAGAGACTCAGTGAAAGTCTGAGGAGCAATGTCAGTGCTATCAAATCCCTGTCCATTGAAACAGGCCATCAAGTTAAACATCAAAATAAATTACTAGCTGAAATGGACTCACAGTTTGATTCTACAACAGGGTTTCTAGGTAAAACTGTGGGAAAACTAAAAATTTTATCCAGAGGAAGCCAAACAAAGCTTTTGTGCTATATGATGCTGTTTTCATTGTTTGTGTTTTATGTCATTTATTGGATTATGAAACTGAGGTGATGCAAGTAAGTGTGAGTTTAGAATTTATTCCCACCTGATGGCTTGGATTACCACTTTGATAAAAATCAGCTTCCAGAAATTCCTAATTTTCAAATATTGTGACCTTTTCCATGGAAGATGATTGGATTTTGCTTATTTTGTAAATCACGCAAGAGAATACATTGCTCTTTAAATACTGTTCATCAGTGGTTCATTTTACCCCCAATTTTCAGGAGTATTGAGATGGCTGAACGCTATAGATGGTCAGTGTGGCTTTACCGATTTTTTGTTCTAATGTTTGCTCCTTGTAAAATTGAATAGCAATATAAAATTATGTTGTTACTATAAATGTAAGTGTATGTTTTATGTAAGGAAACTTAATGGGTGAGTAACAGAATGCCTGGCAAGCCTGCAAATGAGCTCTTGAGGTAGGAAACCAGTTTGTTACAGAATAGCAAATGTGTTTGTCTCAAATATCATCAACCATATAAACATACTCCCCTTTCCTCCTTTATTTGTTAAAACTGTAGACCAGGTTCTTTTATCAAAATTTTTCCTTGTACGTAAGGACCTTGGTTTTAAACAAATCTTATTTCTGGGTTATTTCTAGAAGAGCCTAATGCATATGTGTACAAGTGTAGTTGCTGTGTTATATTTAACCTTATAAGTGCTATTGACTTGGCTTACATGTAGTTTTATTATTTTCATTACTTAGGTGGGCCATGTGTGTGACAGAACATTGTGAAGTTAAGTAATTGCTAAACACTGAGTGGATATAAAGTATTGAAGAAAGTGAATTGCTTCTGCTGTTTGATGTGCTCAAAATTGCAAAAATACTCAAACATTGAATTTGGAGTTAAAAGGAGTTTTGCTTCCTTCCATGTATTCGTTTAAAGAAAGCAAAACAAAGTAGACTTGAGTAAAAAAAATTAAAACATTGTTTAATACTTCATATTGTCATTATTTTACAATTTGACCATTTGTAGACTTCAAAAATAAATGTTTTATGAAATAATAAAAAACATGCACTAATTAGTATAGGTACATACTATATACGCTAAAAGGAGTATAGTATATCTTGTAAAATGGGATATAAAAACACTGCACATTTAATCATGCACTTGATAACAACCTTCTTGAATTGATTTTATGCTGTTCATATTTTCTTTTTTTAACATTTTATTATTATTATTATTTTATGATACAGTTCCATAGGCTCCTGGCTTTTCCCTTGTCCCCTCCCCAGTTCTCCCCCCCCCCACCTAGTTCCTCTATATCATCACTAACATATTGTTCTTCATACTCAGTCATATGTCTGTCATTGCGGGCATGGACAATGGCAGAGAGTCCAGCATCCTATTGTCAAGATATAGCACACAGTTTCATTGCAAGTCTATCTTTGTCTGGAAGTAGAAATGCATACTACATTGTATCCTCACATCCGGATGTTAGTCTCCATTTTACAGCTACTGTACATCCCCTTAAATGAAAAGTCATAATACAAAATGAACAATAAAAAGAAAAATAGAAATTTACAATGCCATGAATTTAAATGACATGTTACTAGATATGACAGTCTCCATTACACAGCTACTATACATCCCCTTAAATGAAAAGCCAAAAAACAAAATCAACTTCCGGGACAAAAAAGAAATTAGCAACACCATGAAATTAAATAACATGCTAAAAAATGCCTAACGTGTAGCTAAAGAAATGAAAATCAAGAACCTTCTTGAAGAAAACGATGCTGCTGTATGATCTACGAGTCATTGAATGATTTAATCAGAAGAAAGTGTTTTGAAGAGATGAAACCAACAGAAAATAACAAAACCCATGCAATATAGTTTCCGCTGATTTTTGTTGGTGAAGTGTGTCTCTTCTAGACAATAAATAGATGTTGTTTTGTAATCCAGTCTATTAATCTGTGACATTTGATTGAGCTTAGGCCATTTACATTCAGAGTTTAATATGTATGGGTGGTACTTTGGTCCTGTCATTTTAGGAATGGGTTGTTCATTGGTTTAGTCTTCTGTTGTCATTTTACTGGAATGTCCTTCCCGTTTGCCTTTGGTTTTGGTGCTATTATTATTCTCTGTCAGAAGAACATCTTGAAGTATCATTTGTAGGGCAGGTTTGAAAGAGGCAAATTCTTTTTATTTCATTTTCAAAGACGAAAGAAAGCTTTGTGGGGTATGTTATCCTAGGCTGACAATTCTTTTCTTTTAGAATCTGGAATATGTCACTCCATTCTCTTCTTGCCTGTAGAGTTTCCTGTGAGAGATCTCCTGTGAGCTTAATTGGCATTCCTTTATATGTCAATTAAATTTTTTCACATCACATTCAAGGATCTTTTCCTTATGTTCAATTGAAGAGAGCTTGATGATCATGTGTCTTGGTGAAGATCACTTTTGATCAAGCCTGTTGGGAGTTCTGTGCCCCTCCCTGGATGTTGTTTCCCAATTCTTTCTCCAGATTAGAGAAATTTTCCTTTATTATTTCATTAAATATATTTGCAAACTCAGCTTCTCTTTCTGTACCTTCTGGGACTCCCATAATTCTTATATTTGGCCTCTTAATAGTGTCTTTCAATTCTTGAATACTTTTCTTGGCCTGATCCAGCTCTGCTTCCAGCTTTTTATTTGCTTCCCCCTGATGACAGGATATATTTTCCAATTCTGAGATTCTTTGTTCTGCTTGCTTCATTCTATTTTGGAGACTCTCCACTGAGCTTTTAATTTGCTCTACTGTGTTCTTAATTTCTGATATATCAGCCTTGATTTGCTTTATTGCTTCCTTAAATTCTTTGAACTGTTGTATGCATTTCTCATTCTTGATCAAAAGCTTTAAAATGAGTTTTATGAATTCTGTGTGTCCCATTTTCTCGATGTCTTCCTCAGTTAACTCTGAAATTGGCATATGGTTTTGCTCCTTTGCAGGGGAGTTTTCAGTAATATTCATTGTGCCTTTGTCTCTTCTTTTGCTCTTGGTCATTGTACTTCTGGTTATCAGATTCTTCTCCTTGGGGCAGGTTTCTAAGCTGTGTCACCCACAGGTCTACAATGCGATTTTACTTATTGCAGTTGGTACACAACTTTTTGCTTGCAGCCACTTGTGCCACAACCTCCAGCGAGTTCCAGGTCTGGGTTCCTATGACAGAGTTCCACTGTGATCTCCACAGCCCCAGCTCCTGGCTCACCACTCTCCACCTCCTGTGATACCGTGCTGAGGCTGCACCGTTGTCTCTGCAACCTTTCTCCCACTTCTGGTTGGAGTAGGTCCCAGGATTAGAGAGACACCAGATGTCCTATATAATTAGGTTGTTGGTGGTGCTGATCTTGTCGGAACCTGTTGGATGTTAGGTCTGGGTGCCACACGGACCTATTTTGAGTGGTATGATGCCACATTTGGTATTATTTTCCTGTTAGGACCAGTTCAATTCGCTGAACTCAGCGCATTCTCATGAGATCAGCACATGTGCAGTTCACTGTTATCCCCTGCAGCCCTAAGCTGTTGCCATAGTGTGCAAAATGGTGCCTGACGTACCACCACTACTAGAGTTCTTGATCTACTGGCCATCAGGTCCTAAGGCTACCCAGACCTGTCTTGGGTGGAACCTGTAGAATGTCACCTTGATGCAGTTCACTGAGTCAGAAATGAGTTCACTCCCAGTTCAGCACATGCTCAGTCCTTTCCCTTGCCCTTTCTTCCTTTTTGCAAAATGGCGCCCAATTCAGCTCTAGGGGGCTGAGTGGGCTATGAAATCTACCCTGTTCTCACACTGCCTGTCTGGGATCTGCTGCTCTGTCTCTGCTCCTGGTCAAATCAAATGGACCAGCAGGACGGACAGTTCTTTATCAGCGTTCACCTCCCAAGCTCCCAGTGAAAATCCATTCCCACTTGGTTGCTGGTGAAGTTCCGGCTGCTGGTGGAGTTCAGATTGCTGTTAGCTGAATGCTGCTGGAGTATCAGTCACTGCAATACCACACCGTTGTGACTGCTGCTTTCCCATGTCTGTCAGTCTCCAGGTACCCCTCTGCTGTTGTCCTGTCCTCTCCTATTTCCTTGAGTATGTCCTCTCTGCTTTATCCTGTTGAAATGTTTTTCCGTCCATTGACACGTGTCCTTACCCTATTCCTCCATCTTGATCCTCCTCAATTTTATGCTGTTCATATTTTCAAGGTGCAAAAGGCAGCTGAAGAAGGCAATTGTTGCTTCGGAACTATCGACACCTGGTTGTTACATAAGCTCACCAAAGGTAAGTGTAACCTGATAGATCTGTCTTAGGCAACTAAAACTTGAATGCGCAGGAAGATTTAAGTAAAATGCTAGAAGGTCCTTTTTGCATCATTTCCTCCTTTCCTGTATGTGTATTTTTCTTTCTTTTTTTTTTTAAGATTTATTTATTTTTAGTTGGGCCCATTTGGCTACAAAGAGCTGCATTTTGTTTTTTTTTGTTTTGTTTTGTTTTGTTTTTTAATAGCTGAATAGTAGTAGTCCGTGGAGTAAATGAACCATAGCTTTCTTATCCAAGATTTATTTTTATTGGAAAGGCGTATATATAGAGAGGAGGAGAGACAGAGAGGAAGATCTTCCATCCGATGATTCACTCCCCAAGCAGCCACAATGGCCACAGTTGAGCCAAACCGAAGCCAGGAACCTCTTCCAGGTCTCCCACGTGGCTGCAGGGTCCCAAGGCTTTGGGCCGTCCTTGACTGCTTTCCCGGGCCACAAACAGGGAGCTGCATGGGAAGTGGAGCTGCCGGGATTAGAACTGGCGGGCATGTAGGATCCTGGCTTGCAAAGTGAGGACTTTAACCACTATGCTATCATGCCAGGCTTTCCTTTTTTTTTCTCCTGAAGACTTATTTATTTTATTTGGAAAGGCAGATTCACGGAGAGAGAGAAGGAGAGAAAGATCTACCAATTGGCTAACTCCCCAAGTGGCCACAACAACCAGAACTGAGACACAATCCGAAACCAGGAGCCAGGAGCTTCTTCCAGGTCTCCCATGTGTGTTCTGGGTCCCAAGGTTTTGGGCTGTCCTTGACTGCTTTCCCAAGGCCACAAGGAGGGAGCTGGATGGGAAATGAAGCAGCTGAGACATGAACTGGCACTCATGGAATTCTGGCATGTGTAAGGCAAGGGTTTAACTTGGGCCATTGTGGCATGCCCTGTACTTTTCTTTGATAGCCTTTTCTGCACATATGCGGAAAAGCTGGGTTTTGTTAGATTTGTTGAAGAAAGTGAATTTAAAATTATGATGAAGTCTCTTATATAAGAACTGGGTTGGCACTGGCGTTGTGGAATAGCAGCTAAAGCTACTGCCTGAGTCACTGACATCCCATATAGTCATCAGTTGTCCCAGTTGTTACACTTCCAGTGCAGCTTCCTGCTAATGGGCTGGGAAAAGCAGAGGAGGGTGGCCCAAATGTTTGAATCCTTGCATGTTTGTGGGAGACTTGGATGAATCTTTAGGCACCTGACTTTGGCCTAGCCCTGTCCCAGCAGTTCCTACCACTTGGTGAATGAACCAGTGATGGATTATCTGTGTCTCCCTGTATCTCTGTTCCTTTCAAATATCTATACACATTTTTTAAAGATATGTATATATGTTTGAAAGATAAACGTATATATTATATAAGTAACATAATATATAAACTAACACATATAAATGTTTATAAGACAAACATGTATTATATAAGTAATGTGTGATATATTAGTAATTCATAATAGTATGTATAAGTAATATATAATATATAACTTATATATAATAATATATATATATAAAACATATATATAAAGGTTTATAAGAATTGGTAACAGTCTTACTCTCGAGTGGTAAGACTCTGGGAGAAGAGAAGGGAAATTCCAGAGCCTATGAAATTCTATCATAAAATTAAAAAAAGAAAAAGAGTGGTAAGACTTAATTTCATGCACAAATCTATTGCACGTGGATATAAGCAGTAGTTATTTGGTATCTCTAAGCTGCTTTCATCATTTTTTCTTTAACTTATTTTGAAAGACTTAGCAGAGACAGAAAGCCATTTTGTCGTCTTTATGGTCTGAGTCACAAAATGACTCTGTGTATGAAAGTGCTGTGTAAGCTATGAAAGTTTCCAAAGGTTACAGGTGAAAACTCTTTGAAGACTTCGCATCGGGCATCACGTACTTGGGCATGAACTTGAGGGTAGACAAAGGTCTGGATTATAAACTTGGAGTAGATATTGATTTGTGCTACCTGATAATGTATGTACTATTTTCAATGTGAATTTAGGTTCTGAGTACGCCACAGATTTTTCAAATGCCAGCACCACTGGACTTTTTGATCCTTATAAGGTAAAGATGTTTTTCTTTTTTAGAATTAGCGATTTTCATGTAATTTGTTGAATTTTTTTTTTTTAGAAATTGAAAGACTGTCTTAGACTGACACAAAACTTGTGTTTGGAAATAAAAATACAGTTTGGAAATAATGTAAATATGTATATTCTGGTGGTATGTTTTTATACTTAGATGTGTTGGAGCAGTCTCATTACCTCCTTGGTTTCTATACCACTCTCCCTCCTGCCTCCCGTGAAGGACACAAGGTAATAATAAACATCACATAATTGTCGTTGAGTTCATTTTGTTGTAGTGGGGGAAAGCATTTTAATCACATGTTCGAGGTGTTTACATTTTTATCACATGACTCTTCAACCCATGCTACAGTCTACTTTCAAATAATATTTCTGAAGCTGCAACTAATGTTTCCATCAATTTTATTTGAAGCCACCATTTTGGATCCGTGGATAAAGAGATATTCGGTGTGCCTATACCAATAGTTGCCTTGGTAAGTAAGAGACTTGATGATTTCTTTTGGTGTAGTATAAACAAAGGAATGTCTGTGAATAGTTAGGTTTAGCTTTATGAAAAAGAAAAGATTGTTGGAAAATAAAGTGTCTGTGTTTTCTTTCTGAGTTAAAAGGTCCTGGATAAAAACAGGTACATCATCTGTCTTTTGGAAAAGGAGCCACAGGGCCAGACTTGTATCATGGAAACACAATGTAAATTTTTTCTAACTTACTTGTATATTGTTTTTTGGGAAGCTATGTAAAAAATTTTAAAAGTGATATACCCATATATACTGAGGCTAAAAACAGTGATGGGGAATAGGAATTTGACCTGGAAGTTAGGTGCTGCTCTGCCATAATGGAGGGCCTGGATTTGATTCCTGACTCCGGCTCTTGGCTTCCGCTTCCCATGGACTGAAAAGACTGGGTGGCAGTGGTAATGCTCAAGTCATTGGGTTTTTGCCACCCACTGAGGGACCTGGATTGTTTTCCCAGCCTCTGGATGCACTTGGCCCAGCCTTGACCATTACAGGCATTAGGAGAAGGAACCATTAGACGAATAAGCTCCTCTTCTTCTTCTTCTCCCTCTCCCTTTCTCTACCTCTCATTTCTCTTTTCTCACCTCCTGTCCCTCTTCTTTTTCCCTCTTTCCTCTCCTCCTTCCTCTCTCCTCTCTTTTCAAGCATTTTAAAAACAGTGGCAGGGGCCACTGTGCTGGCTCAAAAGGCCAGTCCTCTCCCTGCAAGTGCCATCATCCCATATGATAGCCCGTTCGTGTCATGGCTGCGCTACTTTTCAGTCCATCTTCCTACTTTTGACCTGGAAAAGCAGTTGAGGATGGCTCAATGTTTTGGGATCCTGCACCCATGTGGGAGACCTGAAAGAAACTCCTGGCTCCTGGTTTTCACTTGGCTCAGCTTCAGCCATTGCAGCCATCTGGGGAGTGCATCAGCAGACGGAATATCTTTGTCTCTTCTTTTTGTAATTCTGCTTTTCCAACAAAAATAAATAAATCTTAAAAAAAAAAAAAGACAAAGCAAAAGCAATGATAGGGGCCAATGCTTGGTTTATGCTTGGTAGTGTACTTATAAATGCTAATAGGATAGTTTAAAATAAAGGTGCAAGTTATATTTGCACTTTGTAAGCTCCATAACCAGTGTGGAAGTTTGGGATAGAATAAAGAATTTGCTGCTTTTGATTTATAAGAGTCCCTTCCCGTTTCTACTTTTTCTTTCCAGCTGCATGGAGTCAAAAGTGAGAGAGCCTTTATGATTTGCTACCTTATTAACAGACTGTCAAACTGAAGGATTGCCTTTGGTTTTTCTAGGTAGATAGTCCCCACCATAGCTAGGGTAGCACACTGGGGAAGGGGAATTCAATTCTCCAGTTGGGCATCCATGATCCTTTAGAGAGGATCAGTGTCAGTCTAGGGACAGATTCAGGGTTAGATCAAGGTGTGACTGGAAGAGTTACAGATTAGTGGGAAAGATTTTCCTTTAAATTGATTGCTTACTTATGTGAATGCAGGGATTCAGAAAGAGCTTCTATCACCAAATGATTCACCCCCCTTGTTCTCTTTCCTGCTGCCTGCAACAACTGTTATTGGGCCAGGCCAAAGCCAGAAACTCAATCTAGGCTTACCAGATGGATGGCAAAAACCCCACTACTTGAGCTCTCACCTTCTGCCTTCCAGGGTGTGCATTAGCAGGAAGCTGGAATGAGGGGCAGAGCCAGGAGCTAGACTGAGGGCTTCAGTTTGGGGGTGTGGTCGACCCCGGTGTGTGGCTCAGTGTCTGCTCCAAATGTCTGCCCAGAGTAAAGCTCCTTTCAGATGACTTTTGGTCCATATTAATTACACTAACAAAATGGTACCGTTTTTCTTTTTAATAAAAATATGTGGTTGAGAAATTGATGGTTTTGATTTACATCTATTTATGTTTAAATGTCTGCCTGTTTTTCTTAATATAAAAAAAATGTGTGAGGTCAGTTATTCTAACTATTGAATAAAACCTTTCTAAGTTGAAAATGGGAAATCTTGGTTGGTTTGGGGGGGGGCAATAGGTTTTATTCTGACATCCATCCCTGAGACATTTTAAGTGATATTTCAAGATCAGAAGGTTGCCCACTAACAATTCCTGAGGCACTTTAGTTAGCACAGACTGTTAGTCCTAGGAAGACCCCTGTCCTCTACTTGTTACTCCCTCATCTCTTTTTATTTTTTTAGGGAAAAGGTAAAAAAAGAGAAGCAACTTTGAATCAGGAGACTGTAATAGATGAGACAACGGTGGCTCATATATGTGAGCGTTTTTTGTAGGTTGGTGACCAGCAGTCAGCCATGTTTGGAGAGTGCTGCTTCCAGACAGGAGATGTGAAATTAACCATGGGAACTGGAACTTTTTTGGATATTAATACTGGAAATAACCTTCAACACACTATGGGAGGTAAATAGTTAGACTTCAACTAGTTTACTAATGACATTTATTCTCTCTGTATTGACTTTTGTAATATCTGTACAATTTTCCCATTTTCTGTTAAGGATATTCTCTGATGTACCTTTTATTATTATTCTTAAAGAAAGTTAATTTCTGTTTCTTTGTTCACTCTTAAGTTAAAAGCATAAAAAGGGGGAAGGAGGGCTGGTGATGTGATACAGTAGGTTAAATTTCTGCCTGCAGGGCCGTCATACCATATGGGCACTGTTTGAGTCTTTGCCGCTTTACTTATTGTTCATCTTCCTGCTTATGACCTGGGAAAACATCAGAGGATGCCCCAAGTACTTGGGTCTCTGCTGCCCTTGTGGGAGAGCTGGAGGAAGCTCCAGGCTTCTGGCTTCACACGGCCCGAGCTCTGGCTGTCACAGCCATTTGGAGAGTGAGCCAGCAGATGGAAGTTCTCACTGACTCTTGTTTCTGTAAATCTGCCTTTCAAATAAAAACAGAAAGATTAGGGTATTTTGGTCAGCTCTCCAAAATATTTTTCTGTGATATATTGTTATATTTGTTTCACATGTCTTACAGGGCTGTAGAGGGGTGTGTGTGTGTGTGTGTGTGTGTGTGTGTGTGTGTGTGTGTGAAATCTTCTGTGCATTTGTTTTCTGGGGGGATGGTTCTTAGGTAGTGATCTGTGTATGTTTAGGGTTTTAATAACACTGAGAATTTGGGGTTTTTTAATTATTTTAAAATTTTTTTAATACTTCATTTTATGACTGTTTCATAGGCTCTGGGATTCCCCTAGCCCAATCCCTCCCCCCATATTTAATTCCACCATATTGTTACAGTAGTACAGTTCATAACCAGTCATGATTCATTCATTGCAGGCATGGACCATGCAGAGAGTCCAGCATGTTATTTGTTCTTAATGGAGGAAATCTTGGGACAAAATCATTGCTGTTGTGGAGCATGTCCTGGAGGGCTGGAACTCTAAGCTCAGTTCTTCTCACATAATTCACTACAGGGTTGTTTTTAAAATCATATTGTACCTTCCATTCCTCTCTCAGTTCTGCCTTTTTCCTTAGATATAAAATTAGAAGCTAGGAAATGCTCATCAGTGCATTAAGTCATTCCTGGGTGGGCATCTTGTTTGGAAACCATGGGCAAACCCAGTAGGTATAGTTCTCTGGCAGGTCAATGTCATGGTCATCTTATATTTCTCATTTCTATACCACCATGTTTCCACAGATACATGCATTCCTCTGACTAATAGACATTCACAATTCCCTTAGCCAGGCAGCCAGGCACTGTGCGAACTCCTCCTACAGGTTAGCTAACTTTGTCTCGCCACCCCCAACCCCCAATCTTTCTCCTACTACTTTAGGAGGTAGGTCATTTTACATCCAAAAGAATGAAGCACAAGGGGTTTGAAACTTGGAAGACCACAGCTAGTAAACGTGGAAGGGCTGGAATTTGAACTCAGGCAGCCTGACTTCAGAGAAACTTTGTGTTTTCTTCTTTGCAGCCATGAAATTTCTCTATTACAGAAGTCTGTAATGAATATGTATTAACTGACTTGCATTGTGCTTTGTTTCTTTGCTTTATAAGGATTTTATCCATTAATCGGGTGGAAGATTGGGAAAGAAGTTGTATGCCTGGCTGAGAGCAATGCAGGAGACACTGGTACTGCCATAAAATGGGCTCAGCAGTTGAGTGAGTCATCTTTTCAACACATTTCTCAGATCACACTTGAGTAATGTTAAGAACACACAGGATTATAGATCAGTAGGGAACAAGTGGATTGTACAAATAAAACATGAATATACTGGAAGAACATATGGAATATTTTATAATATTGGGATGGTTGAAGTCTAGATATTGAGGGCCTGCTGCAATGTCTCAATTGGCTAATCCTAATCCTTCAAGCACTGGGATCCTATACAGGCACTGATTCTTGTCCTGGCTGCTCCACTTCCCTTCTAGCTGCCTGCTTGTGGCCTGGGAAAGCAGTCAAGAATGGCCCATGGTGTCTTGAGACCCTGCATGTGTATGGAAGACCCAGAAAAATCTCCTGGCTTTGGCTCCAGATCAGCTCAGCTGTGGCCGTTGTGGCTACTTGGGGAGCAAAGCAGCAGATGGAAGATCTTTTTCTCTGTCTGTGCTTTCTCCATAAATGTGATCTGCCTCTCCAATAAGAATAAAATAAATATATTTTTAAAAATCTACATATTGAGGTCAGGAACTATAAAAAAAAGAATAATAGATTTAAGTATATAAGATATTAGAATATATAGAGATATAAGCAAAATGAAAAGACACACTAATAAAAGTTGTACCAAATTTCATGCTTAAAACAACTGAAAAACAGACAAAAATGTAGGTATTTCATCATTAAATAACTTATGAATTGCTGTTTATTTTCCATATTCTAACATGTATTTAAGTAATTACATTATTCATTATTATCTTATCAACCTGTTGTCATAAATTCATGTTTGATTATGTTTGGCAATGGTGGAAACATAGAGAGAAAAATATTTAAAACTCTTTTTTCTAAAGATTTTAGTTTTTTTAAAAGTTGCTTCAAAAGGCAAAGTTACAGAAAGAGAAGCAGAGATAGAGAGGGAATTTTTCATCTGGGTTCACTCCCCAGATGGCCGCACCTGCCAGGGCTGACTGAGCCAGACCATAGCTCGGATCCCGGGGTTTCTTCCAGGTCTCCCACATGGGTACAGGGTTCCAAGTAGTTGGACTATCCTCTGTGGCTTTGCCTGGGGCATTACCAGAGAGCTGAACCGGAACTGGAGAAGTTGGAACTCAAATTTCTATCTATATCGATTGCCAGCATTGCAGGCAAGGCTTAATGTGCTATACCATAATACTGGCTCCCCAAAAAACATTTTTTTAAATGAGTGTTCATTGTTCATTTTCATTTTATTTGAGAAACAGATTCACTCCTCAAATGCTTTCAGTGGCTAGGACTAAGGCAAGTCCAAGTCAGGAGACAAGAACACCCTTCAGGTGGACGGCAGGGACCCGGGCACTTGAGCCGTCATCCCTGCCTCCTGGGTGTATAACCGGTAGGGATCTGGAATAGAGAGTAAATCTGGGACTTGAACTCAGCCTTATCTTAATTCCTCTGGGGTGAGCATTAGCCTTCCTATAGGATAGTCCAAGAGACAGTGTGTATCATTCTATGGGTTTGATATAGCAACTGGGAGTAAAGTCTGTTTATTAGTGAAATATTAACTGGAAATCAGTATATTCATACAGTGGAACACTGTGCAATTACTTAAAAATAACAACGCAGTTGCATATTGTACTGACATGGAACGTGATCTGTGACCTATTAAGGAGAAGTGAAGCAGTTACAAAATAGCCTGTGTAATTTTTTTGCCTTTTTAAAATTCATTGAGATACAGTTCACCTCTTTGAAGTATACTTTTTTTTAGTATTTTCATGGAGTAAACAATCATCAATACAATCGAACAATAGAATATTTCCCTCTGTTCCTCCATTTTGTCTACTCTGGGCATTTCACATGAAGAGGATTATATACTATATGGGCATTCATGGTTTGATTCTTTCACTCAGCTAATATTTTCAAAGTTCACACATTGTGTAGTATATGTTAGTATCTGCCCCTTTTTGATAGTTGTATAATATTTGATAGTTTGTTCATTATGCAGTCACTGAGCGTGGGGTTGTTTACGTTTCTTCAGCTGGTAGGAATAATGAATATCCTGCATGTTTGTATAATCGTAGTTCATGCAGAAAGTCTGAGATGGTATTTACTGCAGCACTGATCCTGATGTCTATAATGTTATGGGGCAGGCTATGACGTTGTACTTTTCTGATTTGAATTGAGCTGATTTAAAAACCAAAAATGATTCTAGGGGCAGAACACACCTGACGAGGAGAAAGCCAGTCAGCTTCCTCTAAGACTATTAACACAAAAAAGTTTACTTCAAAGTTCTGTGTGGTTTATGGGCCCCTTCCTTCTTCATGTGGTTCTCTTCCTTGTACCATGCTGGACATGTTTCTTCAGATAACTGTATTTAAGTGCAAGTTACATAGCTCTTCCCGATCAGTTACATTTTCTGTTGATTTGGTTTGTTGTCTTTAGAAGAAAGAAAACGGAGTGATCTATCTCACCTTTAACAGTCCAAACCCAGGCATTCCAGAGTTGCCTCCACCTGGGTGGGTGGGCACAGTCCAGCTGATTCTACCCAGTCTCCGGGAGACGGGGGTGAATGGCCCTGACTGTGGAAAGTGATGTGTCTTTTGATAGGAGGGAAAGCTTCTCCATTCCTGGCAGAGAAAAAGAAGCTATTGCTCTAACTGGGGGAAGAGAGAATTCGGAGTGGAATTATTTACCTTAAAATGTCAGATATTGGCATCATGTATGTTCCTGACGGATTTGTATGCAGATCACACAGTCCATGGAAAATCCTTGGGATAGATCCCTTTCTGAAAATCCACTTCAATGGGTGTGTTGAAAACACATCATGGGCCCAGCGCAGAGGCCTAGTGGCTAAAGTCCTTGCCTTGCACACATCGGGACCCCATATGGGTACTGGTTCTAATCCTGGCAGCCCTGCTTCCCATCCAGCTCCCTGCTTGTGGCCTGGGAAAGCAGCCAAAGACAGGTCAAAACCTTGGGATCCTGCACCCATGTGGGAGACCTGGAAGAAGTTCCTGGCTCCTGGCTTCGTATCAGCACAGACCGGCTGTTGTAATCACTTGGGGAGTGAATCATTGGACGGAACGGAAGATCTTCCTCTCTGTATATCTGACTGTGTGATAAAAATAAATAAATCTTTAAAGAAAATGAAAGAAAGGTGTGCACACTGCCGCCTCTGATCCCAGCTGTCTCCGTGGCCTCTCTCAACTCACTTTCTACTGAGTTGAATGAACAACTCAGGCTTGTGGATAAAAGCAATTTGGTTGCGGTGGTGGTGGTTGTTGTTCAAAGAATTTCTAAGTGTAAACTGTGTGTTTATTTATTTGAAAGGCAAAGAGACAGAGAGATCAGCAGTTGGCTGGGACATTCCAGGTCCCATAACAGCTCAGGCTGCATCAGGCTGAAGCCAAGAGCAAGGAGCTTGGTTCAGGTCGTCCATGTGGTTGAAAGCACCAAGTATTTGAACCATCACTTACTGCCACCCAGGTTGTGTACTAGGATGCTGGAATTGAGGGCCTGACTGGGATGCAAGTCTGGGATGCGAGTGGCACAATTGACCTCTTCACCATTGTACGACATGTCATTGGTGTGTTTTTTTTTCTTAATATTTATTTATTTTTATTGGAAAAGCAGATTTACAGAAAGATGGAGAGGCAGAGAGAAAGATCTTCCATCTGCTGGTTCACTCTCCCAATCACCATAACAGTCAGAGCTGGGCTAATCTGAACCTAAGAGCCAGGAACTGCTTCCAGGTCTCCCACTGGGGTACAGGGTCCTAAAGCTTTGGGCCATCCTGTGCTGCTTTTCCAGGCCATAAGCAGGGAGCTAGATGCGAAGTGGAGCAACCAGGACACAAACCAGGCCTATAAAGGATGTCAGCGCTTGAAAAATGAGGATTAGCTAATTGAGCCATCATGCTGGCCCCTCTTAATGGAATTTTAAAACAGTCCCTTACAGGGGTCAGCGTTGTGGCTCAGTGGATTAAGTTGCTACTTGGGATATTCATCTCCCATATCAGTGCCTGATTTGAGTTCCAGGTACTCCACTTATGATACAGCTTCCTGGCAGTGCACCTGATAGGGAGCAGAAGATGACTGTCTGGGAAGAGCACTGAGCTCCCTGCCACCCGCTGAATGGAGTTCAAGGCTTCTGGCTTAGATCTGGCCCCATCTGGCTGCTGGAGACACTAGGGGAGTGAATCATTGGATGGAAAGTCTCAGCATCTTTCAAATATAAAAGTAAAATAAATAAATCAGAATTTTTAAAAAATAAGGTGGGCCTTTGGCTGGTCCTTAAGACACTTGTTAAGAGGCCTGCATCCCAGGCTTGGTGCAATAGTCCAATGGCTAAATCCTTGCCTAGTATCTGCCGGAATCCCATTTGGATGCTGTTTTGTGTTTCGGCTGCTATAATTCCCATCCAGCTCCCTGCTTGTGGCCTGGGAAGCATTTGAGGATGGCTCAAAGCCTTGGAACCCTGCACCTGCGTGGGAGACCTGGAAGAATCTCCTGGCTTTGGATCAGCTCAGCTCTGGCTGTTGCAGCCACATGGGGAGTGAATCTGCAGAAAGAAGATCTTTTCACTCTTTTTCTCTGTATATCTGCTTTTCCAATTAAATAATAACAACAACAACAACAACAACAACAACAACAACAATAATAATAATAATAAGGCCTGCATCCCAAATCAGAGTGTTCTGGGTTCGATTCTCAGCTACACCTCGACTCTGGCTTCCCACCAGTGCAAACCCTGGGAGGCAGTGATGCTGGCTTAGATAGCTGGGTTCCTGCCACCCACATCAGAGGCCTAACTACATTCCCGGCCTCCAGAATTGCTTCCGGCTGTCTCGGCCATTTGCCACGTAAACCAGCAAATAGCAGCTCTTACTCACTGTCTGTCTCTGATTCTCAAATAAATAAGTTTTTCTTAGTTTTAAAAAGGAAAAAACAAAATAAAACAAAAGTAACAAATATAAGAGAAAGATCAGAGGAACAAATGTAAATAATATAGTCTCTTTGCTGAAATGCTA